ATCATAACATCAAAATCACACATCTAATTATTTATCAATTACATAAACATTACATCATTAATTATTTAATTAACCAAAAAAATTACATCTTTATTAATAACAAATTAATTCTTAAACAAAACTATTAAATATAAACTAGGTAAACGTGTATTGCACGTTGCTTGCACCTAGTATTATTTTAATGTGGGAAAATATATTGTCAAACTTATGTATTTATTGTTTATCTTGCTTGTTTCAAATGTGAAGAGAAAATAAGGCTTTTTACTTCATCCTTGCTGATTTTTTGGTTGTCATCGGGAACCAGATAAAATAAGGTTGAGACTAAAATAAAAAAAAAAGTTGGAGATTATGAGAAAAAATGAGCAAAGTAAAATTTAAGAAGTTTTGTTGCAATTGTATCGTGACGTAACAAAAAATATGGTGTAAATTATATTTACCCTTTATTGTTTATAACTGGTTAATTAGGTCATTTATGTTATAAGAGTAGGATAAAAAGAATGAACAATACAAGAGTATTGAAGATGAAGTCTCCAGTCTGTTTTATTATATATAAATTCAATAAGACTAATGAATCATTAATCATTATACATTATTTTATAACTGCTATGTTTAAAGCTCCTACAAAACCCTAGTGGGACAAAAACACCAATTGAATGAAAAAAGTACAATTAATTGTCAAAAAATTGGAAATACTATATCGTTAAAACCTTGTCAAAAAAATCTATTAGGACAAAACTTGAGGGAAAGAAAAAGATTACATCTATTACTATTAAAATTTGACCCAAATTGCATTTGGTATTTGTGGATTTGTTGAATTGGGCTTTGAGGAGGTCAAAATATAGATCAAGAAGGAAAATACGCTGCATTGTCGCTAACTTACAGCTTGAGCGGCAGGACGAAATTTTCAGCAGAGAGCTGTCGCCCGCCCGCCTACCGCTCGAGCGGCACACTTGCCAATCGCTTACCGCGAGCCTAGCGCTCGAGCATCGTGCTTGTCCGACCCAAGATTGTTTACTTTATTACACAGAATTTTTGATATTCTTTCCATCTCGAAGGAGTGCATTAGGGTTTTAGCATGCCCCCTATATATAGTTGGCTCTTTTTAAAAGTTAGAACGTTACATAAGTTATAAAAATAATATTTTGTACTATTTCTCCATATTATAATAAATTATCAATTCCTTTGCCAATCATTTTTTATTCTTTTAGTATTG